GTCCCAGAGTTTGGGCTGAAAGTACTGCCACCAATGGTGGAACGGAGGCCATATCAAATGCAAGGATCATTATTATTTCTATCCAACAGCAGATTTTTGCACACTTTATTGAAGTCCTGGAGCTTACAAATTATGCATTATTCATTACAAAATGCTTTGAGACATCTCAAAGTTGTGCTAAGGTGTTATATCAGATGCAAGGATCATTATGATTATTACTCACTCATGCTACATAAATTGTAACACAGGGATTGGTCAAATTGGTCATTCACTTTATGGCTGTTTGCAGGACGTTGCTGTGCACAAATTGGTTAGGGCGCTCACCTACAAAATACACAGTCACTAACACTTCACAGTAAAAATGCTGTGAAGTGCTTAGAGACATTTTGACCATGTGATAAGGCACCCTATGAACTGCCAGGAATAATATTATTACAATATGTTCACCATCATCTCCTGCTCTGCACATTTAGCAAAGTAGAGCATAATATTGACAACATCCAATGACCATATGTCGGCTAAAAGCTATCATGAGAAGCAGGCAACCGTGTCATAACCAAATTTGCTTTAGAATGTAGCGTGTTACTTAGAAACATACGAACAGATGTAAACCATTCAGCCCCTCCAGCCTGTTCCACCATTGCATAAGACCATGGCCGATCTGTACCTCAACTCCAATTGGTAATAATAATAATAATAATCCTTGCATTTGATATAGCGCTTTTCACGTCGGGAGGACGTCCCAAAGGGCTTCACAGAACACACTGTAAAGTGAATTGACTGTATATTTGTGGGTGAACGCGGCAGCCAATTGCGCACAGCAATGTCCCACGAACAGTCGTAGACAGAAAATGACCAATTTATTATCGTTTTGTTTTGGAGGATTATTATTAGGCTCTGTGTGGAGTAAGGAAACTTGCCGAGGTTTCGCCCTCTGCCTGGAATTGAACTCAGGTCTCTCACTTGCAAAGCGAGTGCTCTAACCACTGAGCTACAGGACTCCAATTACCCGCCTTTGCCCCATATCCCTGGATCCCCGACCTAACAAACATCTCTCCACCTCAGGCTGGACAATGTGAAAGGATCCAGTTATAATCCAAAGCCTTTTGGGGGAGAGAGAGAGAGAGAGAGTTCCAGATTCCCATTGGCCTTTGGGTGAAAACCGGCCTCTGATTTCACTGCTAAATGTCCGGCTCTAATTTTAAGATGATGCCTTGTTCTGGATTCCTCACCAGAGGCAATAGTTTCTCTGTCGCTGCCTATCGAATCCCTTTATCATGGTACAACACCTCAATCAGATCAGCCCTCAACCTTCTAACCTCAGGGAATACAGACCGAGTTAATACAACCTGTCCTCATAATTTAACCCTTTAAACCCCGGTATCATTCTGGTGAATCTGCTCTGCACCCCCTCCAGTGCAGACCACACTGTAATTATAGACCAGACTGACTCAATTAGTTTAATTATTTTTTCCAAGAAGTGTTTTGCAAGAAGCAATTTTGCTTTCAAAGAGTGATCCTCTGTACCGGACAAACTCTCTGCTGCCCCCACCCAGTCCTTCTGTGCTGAGCAGCCAACTTGGCTATCAGCTCAAAGTCCTGACATGGGGCTTGAACCCACAGCAATCTGATTCCGAGCTAAACTGCAGGCATGGAGTTCCTGTAGCTCAGTGGTTAGAGCACTCGCTTTGCAAGCGAGAGACCTGAGTTCAATCCCCGGGGGGGTCAGGGCCAAACCTCGGGCAAGTTTCCTTACTCCACACAGAGCCTAATAATAATCCCTCCAAAACCAAAAACAATAATAAATTGGTCATTTTCAATCCGCGACTGTTTGTGGGGCATTGCTGTGCGCCATTGGCCGCCGCGTTCACCCACAAATATACAGTCACTTCCCTTTACAGTGTGTTCTGTGAAGCGCTTTGGAACGTCCTCCCGACGTGAACAGCGCTATATCAAATGCAAGGATTATTATTATTATTATTATTATTATTGTCAGCGACACCGTCCTTTGAACGTTTCTCTGGATGTCCTATTGCCTGACACGAGCGCAAACCCATCACCAGGTCCTGAGAGTCTCCAAACCAAACTACAGCAACAACAACTTGTATCGATGAAGCCCGACAGACACTCGGCCGACCACAACATCACTCAGTTTCATTACTAAAATGATGAGGTTAAAGCTATTTGACTATGTGCCATTGCTGTCTCCAAAACTCTCACTCTCTCTCTGCCACTGTCACTCTCTCGTTGTCACTGTTGCTCTCTCACTCTCTCATTGTCACTCTCACTCTCTCACACTGTCACCCTCTCACTGTCACACCATCACCCTCTCATTGTTACCCTCTCACCGTCATTCTCTCACCATCACTGTTACTGTCACACTGTCACTCTCTCACTGTCACTCTCACTGTCACTCTCTCACTGTCACTCTCTCACGCTCTCACTGTCACTCTCTCATTGTCACTCTCTCACCGTCACTCTCTCACCGTCACTCTCTCATTGTCACTCTCTCACAGTCACTCTCTCACCGTCACTCTCACTCTCTCCCCGTAACTCTCTCACTGTCACTTTCTCACGCTCTCATCGTCACTCTCTCTCTGTCATCCTCTCACTACACTGTTACTCTCGCCCTCACTCTCTCGCCCTCACTCTCCCGCCTTCACACTCTCGCCCTCACACTCTCCCGCCCTCACTCTTTCGCCCTCACCCACCGCCATCACCATCACTCCCCCGCCGCCGTCACCCTCACTCCCCTGCCGCCGTCACTCTCTCACTGTCACCCTCTCACCTTCACCCTCTCACCAACTCTGTCACTCTGTTGCCCTCTCTGTCACTCTCTCACTGTGACTCTCTCACTATCACTCTCTCACCGTCACCCTCTCACCAAGTCTGTCACTCTGTCACTCTCTCACTGTCATTCTCTCACCATCACCCTCTCACCAACACTGTCACTCTCTCACTCTCTCACTGTCACTCTCTCACTGTCACCCTCTCACCTTCACCCTCTCACCTTCACCCTCTCACCAACTCTGTCACTCTGTTGCCCTCTCTGTCACTCTCTCACTGTGACTCTCTCACTATCACTCTCTCACCGTCACCCTCTCACCAAGTCTGTCACTCTGTCACCCTCTCTGTCACTCTCTCACTGTCATTCTCTCACCATCACCCTCTCACCAACACTGTCACTCTCTCACTCTCTCACTGTCACTCTCTCACTGTCACTCTCTCAACCTTCACCCTCACCTTCACCCTCTCACCAACTCTGTCACTCTGTTGCCCTCTCTGTCACTCTCTCACTGTGACTCTCTCACTATCACTCTCTCACCGTCACCCTCTCATCAACACTGTCACTCTCTCACCCTCTCAGTCACCCCCTCACCATCACCCTCTCACTGCACCGTCACTCTCCCGCTGTCACCCACCCTCACCCGTTCACATCCCCACACGAACCAACCCCCAAACCGCCACTCCCCACTGCCACCCCCACTCCCACTGTCTCACACACTCTGTCTCACACTCCCTCTCTCTCTCTCTGTCTTCTTCTATCAACTTTCTCTCTCTCACACACACTCTCTCTGTCACACTCTCTCTGTCTCACACACTCTCTCTCTCTCTATCTCACACACTCTCTCTCTGTCACACTCCCTCTCTCTGTCACAGTCTCTCTCTCTGTCACACTCTCTGTCACACTCTCTCTCTCTCTGTCTCACACTCTCTCTCTGTCACAGTCTCTCTCTCTGTCACACTCCCTCTCTGTCAGTCTCTCTCTGTCACACTCCCTCTCTGTCAGTCTCTCTCTGTCTCACATTCTCTCTGTCTGTCTCACACTCTCTCTCTGTCACACTCCCTCTCTCTCTCTGTCATACTCTCTCTCTCACTGTCTCACACTATCTCTCTGTCACACTCCCTCTCTCTCTGTCTCACACTCTCTCTGTCACACTCCCCCTCTCTCTCTGTCTCACACTCTCTTTTCTCTGTCTCACACACTCTCTGTCACACTCCCCCTCTCTCTCTGTCTCACACTCTCTCTCTCAGTCTCACACTCTCTCTCTGTCACATTCCCTCTCTCTCTCTGTCACACTCCCCCTCTCTCTGTCTCACACTCTCTCTCTGTCACACTCCCCCTCTCTCTCTGTCTCACACTCTCTCTCTCTGTCTCACACACTCTCTGTCACACTCCCCCTCTCTCTCTGTCTCACACTCTCTCTCTCTGTCTCACACACTCTCTGTCACACTCTCTCTCTCTCTCTGTCTCACACTCTCTCTCTCTGTCTCACACTTTCTCTCACTCTCTCTCTGTCTCACACTCTCTCTCTCTGTCTCACACTCTCTCTGTCACACTCCCCCTCTCTCTCTGTCTCACACTCTCTCTCACTGTCTCACTCTCTCTCTCTCACTGTCTCTCTTTCTCTCTGTCACACTCCCCCCCACCCCCTCTCTCTCTGTCACACCCCCCCACCCCTCTCTCTCTGTCACACTCCCCCCCCTCTCTCTCTGTCACCCCCCCCCCTCTCTCTCTCTCTCTCTGTCACACTCCCCCTCTCTCTCTCTCTCTGTCACACTCCCCCCTCTCTCTCTCTCTGTCACACTCCCTCTCTCTCTCTGTCACACTCCCCCCTCTCTCTCTCTCTGTCACACTCCCCCCCCCTCTCTCTGTCACACTCCCCCCCCTCTCTCTCTCTCTCTGTCACACTCCCCCCCTCCCCTCTCTCTCTCTGTCACACTCCCCCCCCTCTCTCTGTCACACTCCCCCCCCCTCTCCTCTCTGTCACACTCCCCCCCCCCTCTCTCTCTCTCTCTGTCACACTCCCCCCCCTCCCTCTCTCTGTCACACTCCCCCTCTCTCTCTGTCACACTCCCCCTCTCTCTCTCTGTCACACTCCTCCACCCCCCCTCTCTCTCTGTCACACTCCCCCCCTCTCTCTCTCTCTGTCTCACACTCTCTCTCTCGGTGCCCGGAGCCTGAAGCTCACAATAAATGAAGGTAAAGCGTGACTCACATTGCAGCTCAGGACACAGCCTCCTCTTCCTCCTCTTCCTCTTCCTCTCCGCCGACAAATCACTGCGGCTCCACTCCTCTCTCTCTGTCTATTCTCACACTCTCTCCTTCTTTTTTCTCTAATCTCACACTCTCTCTCTCTTTCACTATATTCTCACTCTTTATTTTCACACCATCTCTCTCTCTATTCTCACTCTCTCTCTCTCTATTCTCACACTCTCTCTCTTTCTCTATATTCTCACACTCTATCTCTCTCTCTCTATTCTCACACTCTCTCTCTCTTTCTCTATATTCTCACACTCTCTCTCTCTCTCTATTCTCACACTCTATCTTTCTCTCTCTCTATTTTCTCACACTCTATATCTCTGTTCTCACACTCTCTCTCTATTCTCACACTCTACCTTTCTCTCTCTCTCTCTCTCTCTCTCTCTATTCCCACACTATCTTTCTCTATCTCTCTATTCCCACACTCTATTCTCACACTCTATCTCTCTGTTCTCACACTCTCTCTCTATTCTCACACTCTACCTTTCTCTCTCTCTCTCTCTCTCTCTATTCCCACACTATCTTTCTCTATCTCTCTATTCCCACACTCTATTCTCACACTTATCTCTCTCAATTCTCACTCTATCTCTCGCTCTTTTTCTCTCTATTCTCACATTCTCTCTCTCTTTCTGTCTGCATATCTATTCTCACACTTTCGCTCTCTCCGCCGCCAAATCACTGCACTCCACTCCTCTCTCTATTCACACTCTCTCTATCCTCCCCCTCTCTATCTATTCTCACACTCACTCTCTCCTCTCTCTCTCTTTTCACACACTCTCTCTATCCTCTCTCGCTCTCTATTCTCACACTCACTCTCTCCTCTCTCTCTCTATTCACACACTCTCTCTCCTCTCTGTCTATTCTCACACTCACTCTTTCCTCTCTCTCTCTTTTCACACACTCTCTCTATCCTCTCTCGCTCTCTATTCTCACACTCACTCTCTCCTCTCTCTCTCTCTATTCACACACTCTCTCTCCTCTCTCTCTATTCTCACACTCACTCTCTCTATCCTCTATCGCTCTCTATTCTCACACTCACTCTCCCCTCTCTCTCTCTCTATTCACACACTCTCTCTTCTCTCTCTATTCTCACACTCACTCTCTCTCTCTCTCTATTCTCACACTCACTCTCTCTCTATTCTCACACTCACTCTCTCTCTCTCTCTATTCACACTCACTCTCTCCTCTCTCTCTATTCACACACTCTCTCTATCCTCTCTCTCTCTCTATTCTCACAGTCTCTCTCTCTCTCTATTCTCACTCTCACTCTCTCTCTCTATTCTCACTCTCTCTCTCTATTCTCACTCTCACTCTCTCTGTCCCGATATTTTTTCTGGATTCTTCCATCGAAGGGAAACCACTGCGCGCGGCCACGTCATCCCCTCCTACGTCATCACGCAAACAGCGTCACTGACCCTCACTGACCCTCACTGTCCCCCTCACTGACCCTCACTGTCTCCTACTGTCTCCCTCACTGTCCCCTCACTGACCCTCACTGTCTCCCTCACTGTCCCCTCACTGTCCCCCTCACTGTTCCCCTCACTGACCCTCACTGTCTCCCTCACTGACCCTCACTGTCCCCCTCACTGACCCTCACTGTCTCCCTCACTGTCCCCTCACTGTCCCCCTCACTGTTCCCCTCACTGACCCTCACTGTCTCCCTCACTGACCCTCACTGTCCCCCTCACTGACCCTCACTGTCTCCCTCACTGTCCTCCCTCACTGTCCCCTCACTGTCCCTCACTGACCCCACTGTCTCCCTCACTGTCCCCTCACTGTCCCCCCCACTGTCCCCTCACTGCCACTGTCACCTCACTGTCTCCCTCACTGACCCTCACTGTCCCCCTCACTGACCCTCACTGTCCCCTCACTGTCCCCTCCTCACTGTCCCCCTCACTGTCCCCCTCACTGTCCCTCACTGACCCTCACTGTCCCCGCTCACTGACCCTCACTGTCTCCCTCACTGACCCTCACTGTCCCCCTCACTGACCCTCACTGTCCCCCTCACTGTCCCCCTCACTGTCCCCCTCACTGTCCCCCTCACTGTCCCCCTCACTGACCCTCACTGTCCCCCTCACTGACCCTCACTGTCTCCCTCACTGACCCTCACTGACCCTCACTGTCTCCCTCACTCACCCTCACTGTCTCCCTCACTGACCCTCACTGTCTCCCACTGTCTCCCTCACTGTCTCCCACTGTCTCCCTCACTGACCCCTCACTGACCCTCACTGTGCCCCTCACTGACCCTCACTGTCCCCCTCACTGTCTCCCTCACTGACCCTCACTGTCTCCCACTGTCTCCCTCACTCACCCCTCACTGACCCTCACTGTGCCCCTCACTGACCCTCACTGTCCCCCTCACTGTCTCCCTCACTGACCCTCACTGTCTCCCTCACTGACCCTCACTGTCTCCCTCACTGACCCTCACTGTCTCCCTCACTGACCCTCACTGTCTCCCTCACTGACCCTCACTGTCTCCCTCACTGACCCTCACTGTCTCCTCACTGACCCTCACTGTCTCCCTCACTGACCCTCACTGTCCCCCTCCTGACCCTCACTGTCCCACTCACTGTCCTCACTGTCCCCCTCACTGGCCCTCATTGTCCTCCTCACTGACCCTCACTGTCCCCCTCCTGACCCTCACTGTCCTCCTCACTGTCCCACTCACTGTCCTCACTGGCCCTCATTGTCCTCCTCACTGGCACTCACTGTCCCTCACTAACCTCCTCACTGTCCTTCACTGACCTCCTCACTGACCCCCTCAGACCCTCACTGACCCTCACTGTCCTCCTCAGACCGTCACTGTCCCTCACTGACCAACTCACTGACCCTTACTGTCCTCACTGTCCCTCACTGTCCTCCTCACTGTCCTTCACTGACACTCACTGTCCCTCACTGACCCTCACTGTCCTCCTCACTGTCAGGAGGACATCCCAAAGCGCTTCACAGAACACACTCACTGTCCTCCTCACTGTCCCTTACTGACACTCACTGTCCTCCTCACTGTCCCTTATTGACCCTCACTGTCCTCCTCACTGACCCAGTGTCCCTCACTGAACTCACTGTCCCTCACTAACGTCCTCACTAACCTCCTCACAGACTCTCACTGCCCCTCACTATCCCTCACTGTCCCCCACGGATCTGTTTACTGTCCCTCACTGACCTCCACACTGTCCTCATTGACCTCCTCACTGACCTCTTCACTGACCCTCACTATCACTCACTGACCTCCTCTCTGTCCCTCACTGACCTCCTCACTGTCCTTCTCATTGACCTCCTCATTGATCTCCTCACTGACCTCCTCACTTACCTTCTTATTGACCCTCATTGTCCGGACTTTAATAATAATAATACAACAAGATTACTTTTGTATAGCCGAGCTGAGGTCAGGGGAGAAGGGAGGGGAAGGGGGTGGCCGATGGCATGGTCGAAGAGGAGGGTCTTGAGGTGGGACTTGAAGGAGGCTAAGGAGGGGGCGAGGCGGAGTGATTATTATTATGATATATAATAATTCATAATATCACAATCATAATCTTGTTGGGATACGGCAACTTATCACATCATTTGGAGGCCTCAAACGACTTATAATAATCATAATCCTTGCATTTGTTATAGCGCCTCATCACGTCATCGAGACGTCCCTCACTGACCCTCGAGGGCTGGGGTGATGGGGTACGGAGTTTAGTGTGTGTGATAGGGAGCCAGTGGAGCCTGGCGAGGACTAGGGTAATTGGGGTACCGTGTACTCTCACTAACTGTTCTTCCCCCTCTCCCTGACCGTCAGGCTATCCTCCAGGGACTTTTTTGTGTCAATCACTTCAGGAAATTGGCCTTGGCTTGGCTGTCAGATTTCAGTAGTGTACCGCAGTGTAATATCCTTCAATTCATCCATGCATCACCATCGCTGCCTTATTTGGTCCTGGGTTGAGCACAGATTATTGGCAAGACGCCACTTTCAGGAACACAAGTGACGATGGCTTTGTGGCTCTGGGATCCCGGACTTTAATAGTAATAATATCATAATCCCACATAATACCACAATCATAACCTTGTTGAGATACAACAACAACAAGATTACATTTGTATAGCGCCTTTCATGTCCGGAGGACATCCGGTGACTTATCACATCATTTAGAAGCCTTGAACAATTTATAATAATAATAATCCTTGCACTTGATATGGCGCCTCGAGACATCTCAAAGCGCTTCACAAAATATATTGTAAAGTGCAGTGACTGTGTTCAGTTTGTGGGTGAACGAGTCAGCCATCTTCTACTCAGCAAAATGCCAGAAATAGCCATGGAGTGAGTGACCATCTTTATTGGGGGATTGTGTAAACTGTAGCGGCAACGGCTGAATTGATACACACACAGATCTCAACACCGTTTTGGTAGTATAAGTTCAATCAAAATAACTGGTGTTAGAATTTACACTTTTTGTATAATGTTAGAATCATAATAGATGTTGCGAACGGGTTAACTTTTAAGTTAAGTGTGTTGTGGGCAGCTGGACTGAAACTCCCTGCACTTACACAAGATAACGGACTGTCTCAAGGACAGTGTGTTTGTGTGTGTGAGGCACGTACACCCCATGAGATGTTCACGTGAACCCAGCATGATTTTGGCCAGGTGACCTAATGTCTCCACCATAATTGGATGGACACAAGCTTAAGACACCGTGCCAGACCAAGATCGCGCGCCCAGGACAGTACCTACCGTGGGTGGAAGACTGAGAGCTAGAAGGCAGAAGTAGATGACCACGAGGAGGGATTACGCGGTAGTATCGTTCTGTTAGTGAATCTATTGATTGTGCTCACTTGCCCACGCCCATCGGGAACTTGGACGGATCCTGGAGTTTAATAAACACTACTCTGGTTGCAAACAGTGGTTGTGTTTGATTGGAACTCGAAAAGAAGATTTTATTTTCTAACACTGGGTTAGTGATTGGTTTATACCTTAAGGGTTAAATGAACATTAGACTTTAAACTAAATAGATCACATACAGTCCCAGATCACATATGGTCGCGTACTAATCCCGAATACGGCTCGATAAATCATAAGTTTGGATCACATAATATCAAAGGTTTTAAGGGAAAGAGGGCGCGTTATGCATGGATGTGTGGATGTGCGAAAATATCCTACTGGTAACCAGCAGTCAATCACCACGGTTGGTAGAAGA